TGTTACCAACCTCCTCTCATTCGATCCTGATCTTTTCATGTCTTGTGCCAGCTGTAGATCGACTGCTCAGCCCGGGAGGGACTGTGTGGTCACAGAGCAGTGATGGATCCACAGTGGATCCAGCCAAATCTGTTCAGGGGGGGACTGATCAAGTAATAAGAACACATTTAGGAAAAGCCACAATCCAACCAGACTGTAACTTGCCCATCGTCAATGTAGACGACGTGTTATCAGATGTGAGCCACGACACCAGTGAGGAAATATCATGTGATGAGCCTGAAACCTGCTGTCCAGGCCAACATGGTGCAGCCCTGTGTGAGAAGCCTCCTTTGGAAGCCAGAGATGAAAAGAGTGCTGCCTTTCTGATGAATAAACATGTGAACCAACAGAAAGAAGGCACCTCTGCAGTTTTCAGCGGATCAGGTCCAGAAAAATCAAATCCTAGTTGTAAACACATGGATCCCACTGCAGATATCAGTGGTTCAAACAGTGACTGCAGTGCAGTGGTAAAGAACATGGCAGATGGTATTGGTGGTGTCTCTTCTACACGGTCACCATGCCAGTTTCTTAACAGTACAGCACCTGTTTCTGCTACAGAGACACACTTTGACAGAGTTAAAGCGTGTGCAGCATCCAGACACACGAGCGTTTACAGAAACCATGCTCCACCAGCAGCCCACTCCGTCACTGAAAATCTGCATGCAGACGTCTCCCAAAGATCAGATTTACTGAGGTGTGACGACACACAAACATATTCAGTGGAATCCAACCCCTCAGGCTCCAGGCTATCCAAAATGTCAGCGTCAGTGAGCAACAATCACAAAGTCGTGCAGTGTAAAGATACGTTAAAGCCTGACGCTCGCTCCTTGCCTAAGACAAGCTCAAAGCTGAAACACCACGGTTACTCAGACAGTCCTGTGTGGAGGAGTAACTTCAGACTTCAGGTTGAAAGTGGTCCTTCCACACTTAAAGGTTTGAGTATTAAAAAGAAGAACAGCCCAGAGGAGCCTCTTCAAAAACTGTTGGGGAGTCCAGTCCCTGCAGATACAAAGGCTTCCTTCAGACAGTCAACAAATCCAGCAGCTGTGGTAACCATTGGGATTTTGAAGCCCACTAACCAGCCTGATGTCAGGAGTGGCCTAGCTGTGGCCGGAGCAGGTGACACAAAGCAAATAATGACTGAGCATGGAAATTCAGATGGAGCTTTGCAAACTGTGCAGCTGCCCAAAAAAGATATGCACGTAGGTTACGAAGCAAAAGCTGAATCACATGGACCTGCCACTCAGAGGACATTCATGGAAGTGCGACTGTCTTCCTCATCATCATCATCATCAGCATCAGCAGCAGCAGCAGCAGCAGCTATGTCACATAGAGACAAAAAGGTTTCAAAAGAAAATAAACACAGAAATGATACAGATGCACGATTAGCAGCAATGCATTCATCCACTGTCACCGCAGAAGAAAGAACAGCTGCCTCGGTCACCAACACAGCATTTCATTCACTGTCTTCTACAGCAGCTCATTCAACAAGTAAAGGTTTCAAACCTGTGACAGTTATGGAGACAGAAGAGACAGCGAAGTCCAGCACATCCAGACTGTCCGCACAGACCCTGTCCACACAGACCCTGTCCGCACAGACCCTGTCCGCACACACTGCCTCGTCTGCAGATTACAGTCCTTTCTCTGTCCGACATAAAATCAAATCCTTTGAGAATCTGGCTAATGTTGACAAGCCCCTGGTGAAAAGCAGTGATCCTCAGCCGTATGCGCTGGCATATAGAGCCCCGCTGAACCAAAGGATTGCAGGTTATATGGAACTGGTTAATGCTGTTGACTTCCGGACACGGCAAAGGAGTTTTAGCTCTTATGTGGGAAATCTGCTTCCAGCCACATCCTGTTCTCTTCGTCTTCATAAGTCTTCTGAGAATGAAGTTCACAAAGCTCCAGATGGGGCTGCACCACACACTCCTCCAGTGCTGCGCAAGAAACATGGCAGACTTCTCTACAGTAGGTTACGGCAGCTCAGGGCTCTCAGCATGCCTGAGCTGGAAAAACTGTGCAAAGAGGACGCTGCAGGAGGGCGCAGCAATGCAGATAAAACAGACTCTGACACCCAGTCCACTATAGCCCCAGTGACTGACAGCTTTCCAACCTGTGCAACTCCAGTGAAAGCAGATTTGAACAGCGTTAACCACAGTGAGGCTGAAGTCACTGAAAAGACTGCTCAGAGGACCCGAGAGACCCATGGCCGGCAGCTCGGCTGGTCCATCAGGTGAGACTTTAAACCAGTCATTGTAAATCACAGCAGCTGCTTTGCTCCAAACATAACTGTGAAATGTGGGTGAAAAAAACACATTAAATGTCCTGATTCGATGGCTTTTTCTCTGCAGTTTAGAGGAGCTGTCGGCTTCACCTGTGAGTCAGTGTAAACTGCAAACACTGCTGTCCTCACTAACAGCGAAAGCTTACATATCAACCCTGCTTCAGCAAACCAAGGTAATGTCTCACTGCAGATACAGAGTCCAGCTGAGTTTGAGTTTTCTTTATTTGTCTCTCTGTGTGTTTTGCAGACTAACAGAAATACTCGTCTTGTTGTCCTGAGTAAAGGAGAAGGTTCAGGACTTGGTTTCAGTATTGCTGGAGGAGTTGACCTCGAGCAAAAGGACATAACTGTAAGTACAAGATGTTGAATCTCTGTTCAGATTCACATCCTTCAGATTTAAACAATAATGTACGGTGACTGTTGCAACAATTTAAAGTACATTTTCTTGCACATTCATTTACTTGCCTTGAATGCCTCACTAAGATATGAAGATTCAGTTAGTCCAGAAAATCTCAAGAAAAGTTTCTTCAAGAGCAAAATGCACCAAACAGTGTGACAAAGCCCACTCTGCTGAGGGAAAGTTCATTAGAGTCACCAGCTACAGAGGTCAAAGGTTACCAGCAGCTCAGATTACAAAACACAAAAAGCCTTTCAAAACTTCAAGCAGCAGACGTTTGAGGACTTACAGGATCTATTAGGACTTACAGAACGTTTGAGGACTTACAGGATCTTTAAGGGCTTACAGGATATTTGAGGACTTACAGGACCTTTGAGGACTTACAGGAGGTTTGAGGACTTACAGGATCATTTTAGGACTTACAGGCCTTTGAGGACTTACAGGAGGTTTGAGGACTTACAGGACATTTGAGGACTTACAGGACCTTTGAGGACTTACAGGATCTTTGAGGACTTACAGGACCTTTGAGGACTTACAGGAGCTTTGAGGACTTACAGGACCTTTGAGGACTTACAGGACCTTTGAGGACTTACAGGATCTTTGAGGACTTACAGGATCTTTGAGGACTTACAGGTCTTTGAGGACTACAGGACCTTTGAGGACTTACAGGATCTTTGAGGACTTACAGGATCTTTGAGGACTTACAGTCTTTGAGGACTACAGGCTTTGAGGACTTACAGGAGTCTTTGAGGACTTACAGGCCTTTGAGGACTTACAGGTCTTTGAGGACTTACAGGACTTTGAGGACTTACAGGACCTTTGAGGACTTACAGGATCTTTGAGGACTTACAGGACCTTTGAGGACTTACATGATCTTTG